GTTACTGAGGGACACAGAATTGTTACTGAGGGCCACAGAACCGTTACTTAGGGCCACAGAAACGTTACTCAGGGACAGACACAGAATTGTTACTCAGGGACAGACACAGAATTGTTACTGAGGGCCACAGAATTGTTACTTAGGGCCACAGAAATTGTTACTCAGGGACACACAGAATTGTTACTCAGGGGACAGACCCACAGAATTGTTACTCAGGGACAGACACAGAATTGTTACTGAGGGCCACAGAATTGTTACTTAGGGACACAGAAACGTTACTCAGGGACACAGAATTGTTACTCACAGGGACAGGGACACAGAATTGTTACTCAGGGACAGACACAGAATTGTTACTGAGGGCACAGAATTGTTACTGAGGGCCACAGAAACCGTTACTTAGGGCCACAGAATTGTTACTCAGGGACAGACACAGAATTGTTACTCAGGGACAGACACAGAATTGTTACTGAGGGGGACACAGAATTGTTACTGAGGGACACAGAATTGTTACTCAGGGACAGACACAGAAATTGTTACTCAGGGACAGACACAGAATTGTTACTCAGGGACACAGAACCTTTACTTAGGGCACACAGAATTGTTACTCAGGGACAGACACAGAATTGTTACTCAGGGCCACAGAATTGATGAGGGACACAGAATTGTTACTCAGGGACACAGAATTGTTACTGAGGCCACAGAATTGCACTGGGACCAGAAAGAATTGTTACTCAGGGACACAGAATTGTTACTGAGGGACACAGAATTGTTACTGAGGGACACAGAATTGTTACTCAGGGACAGACACAGAATTGTTACTGAGGGCCACAGAGAATTGTTACTTAGGGCCACTGAAACGTCTACTCAGGGACACAGAATTGTTACTCCTCAGGGACACAGAATTGTTATCAGGGACACAGAATTAATTAAAGAGTATGTCAGACAACATGCAGAGGAGTGGCAGAGGAGGCCAATGTTTTAGGAGCGAGCAGACCACTGGCAGCAGAGGAAGGGGTCGAGACAGCAGCACTATTCGCAGCCAGAGGCTAGTGCTCCCGGTGTCATCCAGTACAGTGAGGAAGAGCTAACAGAGGGCGGTCAGGAACGGGGGGAGACATTCCGCCTCTTCAGGGCCAGGCGAAGAAGTTAGTGGCGAGGAGAGTGGCTCGGTAGCCGGGTGTAGAGACAGGTCTGTCTCCTGACCCAACGCAGCCGAGGGGGGCTAGTAGTGAGGCGGAGACCCTAATTGATGATGATGAGGCTGATCGCACTTGGCAGCCTCGTCGTCATCAGGCTATTGCTTCCGCATCTAATCAGGAGAAGAGGGTGGCAGCTTGGCAGCAAGTCCAAAACTGTCGGTGGGTCCCTGTCTCCATCGCCACACTCTGCCATGTGCCACTTTCAGGTCTCCTCACACACTGCTGGTGTGTTGAATTTTTTTGACATAGGGTGCTGGCAGATTACGGGCCTCCCATAGCTGCTGCCAGGCCCCTAATCTGCCATATGGGCCCCTATATATACCGCTCCTCATGCTGCTGCCAAGTCCAGAGTCTGTCTCTCATGGGTCCCTGTACGGCCCTCCCATTGCTGCTGCTGTCTCCATCGCCACACTCTGCCATGTGCCACTTTCAGGTCTCCTCACACACTGCTGGTGTGTTGAATTTTTTGACATAGGGTGCTGGCAGATTACGGGCCTCCATAGCTGCTGCCAGGCCCCTAATCTGCCATGGGCCCCTATATACCGCCTCCTCATGCTGCTGCCAGGTCCAGAGTCTGTCATGGGTCCCTGTACGGCCTCCCATTGCTGCTGTCTCCATCGCCACACTGCTGCCATGTGCCACTTTCAGGTCTCCTCACACACTGCTGGTGTGTTCATTTTTTGACATAGGGTGCTGGCAGATTACGGGCCTCCCATAGCTGCTGCCAGGCCCCTAATCTGCCATGGGCCCTATATACCGCCTCCTCATGCTGCTGCCAAGTCCAGAGTCTCTCATGGGTCCCTGTACGGCCCATTGCTGCTGTCTCCATCGCCACACTCTGCCATGTGCCACTTTCAGGTCTCCTCACACACTGCTGGTGTGTTCATTTTTTGACATAGGGTGCTGGCAGATTACGGGCCTCCCATAGCTGCTGCCAGGCCCCTAATCTGCCATAGGCCCCTATATACCGCCTCCTCATGCTGCTGCCAGGTCCAGAGTCTGTCATGGGTCCCTGTACGGCCTCCCATTGCTGCTGTCTCCATCGCCACACTCTGCCATGTGCCACTTTCAGGTCTCTCTCACACACTGCTGGTGTGTTGAATTTTTTGACATAGGGTGCTGGCAGATTACGGGCCTCCCATAGCTGCTGCCAGGCCCCTAATCTGCCATGGGCCCCTATATACCGCCTCCTCATGCTGCTGCCAGGTCCAGAGTCTGTCATGGGTCCCTGTACGGCCTCCCATTGCTGCTGTCTCCATCGCCACACTCTGCCATGTGCCACTTTCAGGTCTCTCACTCACACTGCTGGTGTGTTGAATTTTTTGACATAGGGTGCTGGCAGATTACGGGCCTCCCATAGCTGCTGCCAGGCCCCTAATCTGCCATGCCATAGGCCCCTATATACCGCCTCCTCATGCTGCTGCCAGGTCCAGAGTCTGTCTCATGGGTCCCTGTACGGCCTCCCATTGCTGCTGTCTCCATCCATCGCCACACTCTGCCATGTGCCACTTTCAGGTCTCCTCACACTGCTGGTGTGTTCATTTTTTGAATTTTTTGACATAGGGTGCTGGCAGATTACGGGCCTCCTATAGCTGCTGCCAGGCCCCTAATCTGCCATGGGCCCCTATATACCGCCTCCTCATGCTGCTGCCAGGTCCAGAGTCTCTCATGGGTCCCTGTACGGCCTCCCATTGCTGCTGTCTCCATCGCCACACTCTGCCATGTGCCATGTGCCACTTTCAGGTCTCCTCACACACTGCTGGTGTGTTGAATTTTTTGACATAGGGTGCTGGCAGATTACGGGCCTCCTATAGCTGCTGCCAGGCCCCTAATCTGCCATAGGCCCCTATATACCGCCTCCTCATGCTGCTGCCAGGTCCAGAGTCTCTCATGGGTCCCTGTACGGCCTCCCATTGCTGCTGTCTCCATCGCCACACTCTGCCATGTGCCACTTTCAGGTCTCCTCACACACTGCTGGTGTGTTGAATTTTTTGACATAGGGTGCTGGCAGATTACGGGCCCTCCATAGCTGCTGCCAGGCCCCTAATCTGCCATGGGCCCCTATATACCGCCTCCTCATGCTGCTGCCAGGTCCAGAGTCTGTCATGGGTCCCTGTACGGCCTCCCATTGCTGCTGTCTCCATCGCCACACTCTGCCATGTGCCACTTTCAGGTCTCCTCACACACTGCTGGTGTGTTCAATTTTTTGACATAGGGTGCTGGCAGATTACGGGCCTCCCATAGCTGCTGCCAGGCCCCTAATCTGCCATGGGCCCCTATAACGCCTCCTCATGCTGCTGCCAGGTCCAGAGTCTCTCATGGGTCCCCTGTACGGCCTCCCATTGCTGCTGTCTCCATCGCCACACTCTGCCATGTGCCACTTTCAGGTCTCCTCACACACTGCTGGTGTGTTGAATTTTTTGACATAGGGTGCTGGCAGATTACGGGCCTCCTATAGCTGCTGCCAGGCCCCTAATCTGCCATGGGCCCCTATATACCGCCTCCTCATGCTGCTGCCAGCAGGTCCAGAGTCTCTCATGGGTCCCTGTACGGCCTCCCCATTGCTGCTGTCTCCATCGCCACACTCTGCCATGTGCCACTTTCAGGTCTCCTCACACACTGCTGGTGTGTTGAATTTTTTTGACATAGGGTGCTGGCAGATTACGGGCCTCCTATAGCTGCTGCCAGGCCCCTAATCTGCCATGGGCCCCTATATACCGCCTCCCTCATGCTGCTGCCAAGGTCCAGAGTCTGTCATGGGTCCCTGTACGGCCTCCCATTGCTGCTGTCTCCATCGCCACACTCTGCCATGTGCCACTTTCAGGTCTCCTCACACACTGCTGGTGTGTTGAATTTTTTGACATAGGGTGCTGGCAGATTACGGGCCTCCCATAGCTGCTGCCAGGCCCCTAATCTGCCATAGGCCCCTATACCGCCTCCTCATGCTGCTGCCAAGTCCAGAGTCTGTCATGGGTCCCTGTACGGCCTCCCATTGCTGCTGTCTCCATCGCCACACTCTGCCATGTGCCACTTTCAGGTCTCCTCACACTGCTGTGTGTGTTGAATTTTTTGACATAGGGTGCTGGCAGATTACGGGCCTCATATAGCTGCTGCCAGGCCCCTAATCTGCCATGGGCCCCTATATACCGCCTCCTCATGCTGCTGCCAGGTCCAGAGTCTCTCATGGGTCCCTGTACGGCCTCCCATTGCTGCTGTCTCCATCGCCACACTCTGCCATGTGCCACTTTCAGGTCTCCTCACACACTGCTGGTGTGTTGAATTTTTTGACATAGGGTGCTGGCAGATTACGGGCCTCCATAGCTGCTGCCAGGCCCCTAATCTGCCATGGGCCCCTATATACCGCCTCCTCATGCTGCTGCCAAGTCCAGAGTCTGTCATGGGTCCCTGTACGGCCTCCCATTGCTGCTGTCTCCATCGCCACACTCTGCCATGTGCCACTTTCAGGTCTCCTCACACACTGCTGGTGTGTTGAATTTTTTGACATAGGGTGCTGGCAGATTACGGGCCTCCCCATAGCTGCTGCCAGGGCCCCTAATCTGCCATGGGCCCCTATATACCGCCTCCTCATGCTGCTGCCAGGTCCAGAGTCTCTCATGGGTCCCTGTACGGCCTCCCATTGCTGCTGTCTCCATCGCCACACTCTGCCATGTGCCACTTTCAGGTCTCCTCACACACTGCTGGTGTGTTTCAATTTTTTGACATAGGGTGCTGGCAGATTACGGGCCTCCCATAGCTGCTGCCAGGCCCCTAATCTGCCATGGGCCCCTATATACCGCCTCCTCATGCTGCTGCCAGGTCCAGAGTCTCTCATGGGTCCCTGTACGGCCTCCCATTGCTGCTGTCTCCATCGCCACACTCTGCCATGTGCCACTTTCAGGTCTCCTCACACACTGCTGGTGTGTTGAATTTTTTGACATAGGGTGCTGGCAGATTACGGGCCTCCCATAGCTGCTGCCAGGCCCCTAATCTGCCATGGGCCCCTATATACCGCCTCCTCATGCTGCTGCCAAGTCCAGAGTCTCTCATGGGTCCCTGTACGGCCTCCCATTGCTGCTGTCTCCATCGCCACACACTCTGCCATGTGCCACTTTCAGGTCTCTCACACACTGCTGGTGTGTTGAATTTTTTGACATAGGGTGCTGGCAGATTACGGGCCTCCCATAGCTGCTGCCAGGCCCCTAATCTGCCATGGGCCCCTATATACCGCCTCCTCATGCTGCTGCCAAGTCCAGAGTCTGTCATGGGTCCCTGTACGGCCTCCCATTGCTGCTGTCTCCATCGCCACACTCTGCCATGTGCCACTTTCAGGTCTCCTCACACACTGCTGGTGTGTTGAATTTTTTGACATAGGGTGCTGGCAGATTACGGGCCTCCTCCCATAGCTGCTGCCAGGCCCCTAATCTGCCATGGGCCCCTATATACCGCCTCCTCATGCTGCTGCCAAGTCCAGAGTCTGTCATGGGTCCCTGTACGGCCTCCCATTGCTGCTGTCTCCATCGCCACACACTCTGCCATGTGCCACTTTCAGGTCTCCTCACACTGCTGGTGTGTTGAATTTTTTGACATAGGGTGCTGGCAGATTACGGGCCTCCCATATAGCTGCTGCCAGGCCCCTAATCTGCCATGGGCCCCTATATACCGCCTCCTCATGCTGCTGCCAAGTCCAGAGTCTGTCATGGGTCCCTGTACGGCCTCCCATTGCTGCTGTCTCCATCGCCACACTCTGCCATGTGCCACTTTCAGGTCTCCTCACACACTGCTGGTGTGTTGAATTTTTTGACATAGGGTGCTGGCAGATTACGGGCCTCCATAGCTGCTGCCAGGCCCCTAATCTGCCATGGGCCCCTATATACCGCCTCCTCATGCTGCTGCCAGGTCCAGAGTCTCTCATGGGTCCCTGTACGGCCTCCCATTGCTGCTGTCTCCATCGCCACACTCTGCCATGTGCCACTTTCAGGGTCTCCTCACACTGCTGGTGTGTTGAATTTTTTGACATAGGGTGCTGGCAGATTACGGGCCTCCCATAGCTGCTGCCAGGCCCCTAATCTGCCATGGGCCCCTATATACCGCCTCCTCATGCTGCTGCCAGGTCCAGAGTCTGTCATGGGTCCCTGTACGGCCTCCCATTGCTGCTGTCTCATCGCCACACTCTGCCATGTGCCACTTTCAGGTCTCCTCACACACTGCTGGTGTGTTGAATTTTTTGACATAGGGTGCTGGCAGATTACGGGCCTCCCATAGCTGCTGCCAGGCCCCTAATCTGCCATAGGGCCCCTATATACCGCCTCCTCATGCTGCTGCCAAGTCCAGAGTCTGTCATGGGTCCCTGTACGGCCTCCCATTGCTGCTGTCTCCATCGCCACACTCTGCCATGTGCCACTTTCAGGTCTCCTCACACACTGCTGGTGTGTTGAAATTTTTTGACATAGGGTGCTGGCAGATTACGGGGCCTCCATAGCTGCTGCCAGGCCCCTAATCTGCCATGGGCCCCTATATACCGCCTCCTCATGCTGCTGCCAGTCCAGAGTCTCTCATGGGTCCCTCTCATGGGTCCCTGTACGGCCTCCCATTGCTGCTGTCTCCATCGCCACACTCTGCCATGTGCCACTTTCAGGTCTCCTCACACACTGCTGGTGTGTTGAAATTTTTTGACATAGGGTGCTGGCAGATTACGGGCCTCCTATAGCTGCTGCCAGGCCCCTAATCTGCCATGGGCCCCTATATACCGCCTCCTCATGCTGCTGCCAAGTCCAGAGTCTGTCATGGGTCCCTGTACGGCCTCCCATTGCTGCTGTCTCCATCGCCACACTCTGCCATGTGCCACTTTCAGGTCTCCTCACACACTGCTGGTGTGTTGATTTTTTTGACATAGGGTGCTGGCAGATTACGGGCCTCCTATAGCTGCTGCCAGGCCCCTAATCTGCCATGGGCCCCTATATACCGCCTCCTCATGCTGCTGCCAAGTCCAGAGTCTGTCATGGGTCCCTGTACGGCCTCCCATTGCTGCTGTCTCCATCGCCACACTCTGCCATGTGCCACTTTCAGGTCTCCTCACACACTGCTGGTGTGTTGAATTTTTTGACATAGGGTGCTGGCAGATTACGGGCCTCCCATAGCTGCTGCCAGGCCCCTAATCTGCCATGGGCCCCTATACCGCCTCCTCATGCTGCTGCCAAGTCCAGAGTCTCTCATGGGTCCCTGTACGGCCTCCCATTGCTGCTGTCTCCATCGCCACACTCTGCCATGTGCCACTTTCAGGTCTCCTCACACTGCTGGTGTGTTTGAATTTTTTGACATAGGGTGCTGGCAGATTACGGGGCCTCCTATAGCTGCTGCCAGGCCCCTAATCTGCCATAGGCCCCTATATACCGCCTCCTCATGCTGCTGCCAAGTCCAGAGTCTGTCATGGGTCCCTGTACGGCCTCCCATTGCTGCTGTCTCCATCGCCACACTCTGCCATGTGCCACTTTCAGGTCTCCTCACACACTGCTGGTGTGTTGAATTTTTTGACATAGGGTGCTGGCAGATTACGGGCCTCCTATAGCTGCTGCCAGGCCCCTAATCTGCCATAGGCCCCTATATACCGCCTCCTCATGCTGCTGCCAGGTCCAGAGTCTGTCATGGGTCCCTGTACGGCCTCCCATTGCTGCTGTCTCCATCGCCACACTCTGCCATGTGCCACTTTCAGGTCTCCTCACACTGCTGGTGTGTTTGAATTTTTTTGTCATAGGGTGCTGGCAGATTACGGGCCTCCCATAGCTGCTGCCAGGCCCCTAATCTGCCATGGGCCCCCTATACCGACTCCTCATGCTGTGACGTTGCAACAAGGTGGAATTCAACCCTACATATGTTAGACCGCCTTTACGAACAGCAAAAGGCCATCACAGATTTCCTGATGTTAAAAGCGGATAAAGGTACTCCCTGTGTAACTTAGATGTCAGCCATTGGCAGCTCATGCGTGACACCTGCGCTTGCTCAGGCCCTTTGAGGAGAGGCCACGCTATTCGTGAGTCGGCAGGACTATGGGATGAACGACGTCATTCCTCTGTTGCACGTCCTGGAACAAATGCTGTTAACAATGGCTGGTCAGGGTGCGGTAGACGTGGCGCACAGATCTCAACGCCACATGACCCCTGTGGGGGCAGGACAGGAAGAAGAGAGAGGAGGTAGAGGAGGACATTGGTGCTCAGGAATTATTGAGTGAAATGGGTGGTTTTTCCACTCAGCGGACAGGAGTGGAGGAGCAGGAGCATCTGGTAGAGGAGGAGGAAGAGGAGACAGAGGACCCAGACGCACCGTGGCAGTATGCTGTGGAGATGGAGGCAGGGAGTCCCTCGCATTCCTTGGCACAAATGGCCCATAGCATGCTCGCTTGCTTGCGTAGCGACAGCCGAATAATAACCATCAGACAGAGGGATGACTTTTGGCTGTCCACCTTGTTGGACCCTCGCTACCGTTCAAAAAATGGTGGCCTTTTTCACACCTGCTGAGAGGGAGGCCAAAATAACGTACTATAAAAACCACCTATGTAGTCAGCTGGTCTCTGCCTGTCTGCGCCAACGTCCATCCTCAGACACTGTGGGCCCTGTGCGCTCGCGTTCCGCTGCCATGGCAGCAGGGGAGGGGTGGGGGGTGGTAGGAGCAGTGGCAGCTCCACCAGCAGCGGCTGCCTCAGTCTGCAGTCGATGATGAGTAGCTTTCTTCACCAGCGCAGTGAGGAAACTACTAACCAGCCGCAGCAGCAGCAGCAGCATCAGGTAGACCTGGAGCAGGACCTCAAACAACAGGCTTAGGCCTACTTGGACAGCACCCTGCCAACCGAGGTAGACAATCCCCTTGACTACTGGGCAACGAAACTTGACCTTTGGCCCCAACTAGCTGAATTTGCCCTTGAAAGGCTGTCATGCCCGGCCAGTAGCGTGGCATCGGAGCGCGTGTTTAGTGCGGCAGGAGGTATTGCAACTCCGCGGAGGACACGACTGTCCACCCAAAGTGTGGAGAGACTCTCGTTTGTGAAAATGAATCAGGCGTGGATTAGTCTGGATTTCAAACCACCAGTTCCTGACACAACTGACTAAATCCGCCATGAATCATGCCCCAAACATGTGCCACTTTCAGGTCTCCTCACACTGCTGGTGTGTTCCATTTTTTGTCATAGGGTGCTGGCAGATTACGGGCCTCCCATAGCTGCTGCCAGGCCCCTAATCTGCCATGGGCCCCTATACCGCCTCCTCATGCTGCTGCCAAGTCCAGAGTCTCTCATGGGTCCCTGTACGGCCTCCCATTGCTGCTGTCTCCATTGCCACACTCTGCCATGTGCCACTTTCAGGTCTCCTCACACTGCTGGTGTGTTCCATTTTTTGTCATAGGGTGCTGGCAGATTACGGGCCTCCCATAGCTGCTGCCAGGCCCCTAATCTGCCATGGGCCCCTATACCGCCTCCTCATGCTGCTGCCAGGTCCAGAGTCTGTCATGGGTCCCTGTACGGCCTCCCATTGCTGCTGTCTCCATCGCCACACTCTGCCATGTGCCACTTTCAGGTCTCCTCACACTGCTGGTGGGTTCCATTTTTTGTCATAGGGTGCTGGCAGATTACGGGCCTCCCATAGCTGCTGCCAGTCCCCTAATCTGCCATGGGCCCCCGTACCGACTCCTCATGCTGCTGCCAGGCCCGTAATCTGTCATGGGCCCCTGTTGTCGCTTGTTGGCATATTCCGCTCGTTCAGATGCTCCTTCTCCTGCTACTCCTCTTCACGGATTCCGTCAGCAGTCTTTCTTGGAATCCGTTTCCAAGAGACAACAGTTTGCGAGCACGCACCCGACGGTGCAGAAGCTGAACGTCCTCCTGTCCAAGTTGCTGCTGCCAGGCTCGTAATCTGTCATGCGCCCCTGTACCGCCTCCTCATGCTGCTGCCAGGTCCAGAGTGTGTCATGGGCCCCCGTACCGACTCCTCATGCTGCTGCCAGGCCCGTAATCTGTCATGGGCCCCTGTACCGCCTCCCCATGCTGCTGCCAGGTCCAGAGTGTGTCATGGGTCCCTGTACGGCCTCCCATTGCTGCTGCCAGGCCCGTAATCTGCCATGGGCCCCCCCCGTACCGGCTCCTCATGCTGCTGCCAGGCCCGTAATCTGTCATGGGCCCCTGTACCGCCTCCTCATGCTGCTGCCAGGTCCAGAGTGTGTCATGGGTCCCTGTACGGCCTCCCATTACTGCTGTCTCTATCGCCACACTCTGCCATGTGCCACTTTCAGGTCTCCTCACACTGCTGGTGGTTTCCATTTTTGTCATAGGGTGCTGTATGGCCTCCCATTGCTGCTGCCTCCACCGCCACACTGTGGCTCCACACTCTGGTTTTGGCCCCGTGACTGCCCAAATGAGTGAAGTGTGCGGTGATTCTAAGATCGACGGCACTCATCTGCATGTCATACTGACTGACAGTATTATTTCTCTTCCTCAGCAGACTCCAAGGGCATTTAAATTAAAGGTACAGTGTTCTGCACTAATATTAAGTCTCTCTGAAGCCTAGAAACACCCTTTTTTAAGTTAAATTCACAGCGAATATATTCGACTCGAATCAAAATTTTTCCACGAATTCGCCGAATCAGTCGAATCGAATTTTTGAATACTTCGCTCATCTCTAACTACTATCATTAAATTAATACTTCATTGGTTACTAAGATGCTAGTGGCCACCTGTGTCCTTGCTATCACTATCCTGATGCCTTCTGGCTTGTAAATAAGTGACATCCAGGGAAACTTAATTGACCAAATGTGGTCATGCCTATATTCGGCCAATGACATCGGACAGCTTCTACCCCTTTGTTTACATTCACTTGGAAGTTGTCATTTGCAAAGTTGAGTCAGTCTGAATCGAATTGTAATGTACAGTCTACATTTTTTTTCTTTCAACGGGTTGTCAGGATCCTTGTTCATTGTGATTGCTGAGAATCTGCATCATTGATAACATGATTGGTGATGGAATTACATTCCTGGGACACGTTTGGTGCTTTTTAAGCATTTAGGCATTTTTAATGTTTCAATTTAAACATCAAAGTTGCTGCTTCCCACCAAATGTTCACAACTAGGATATAGCAACTTTACAGGAAAACCTCAATAAAATAGAGGGGTGGGCAAACACATGGCAAATGAGGTTCAATGTAGAAAAATGTAAAATATGATTTCAAGCTACACGCTAGGGGGAGAACATCTGGGATAGTCAAGGGTGGAAAAGAATTTGGGGGTCCAAGTTGATGACAGACTCAGCAATAGCATGCAATGCCAAGCTGCAGCAAGCAAGGCCAGTAGAATATTGGTATGCATTAAAAAGGATATTTACTCATGGGATAAAACCATAATGCTACCACTTTCCAAAACTCTGGTGCTGCCACGTCTTTAGTATGCCGCCCAGTTCTGGTCACCAGTCCTTAGGAGGGATGTGCCAGAACTGGAGAGAGTCAAGAGAAGGGCAAAAAGCTAAAAAGAGGACTGGAGGAACTCAGTGAGGAACGTCTACAAGTATTAAACTTACTCTCCCTGGAGAAGGGCTGCTCAGGAAGAAATGTTATAGCGATATACAAATATCTTAATGGTGATTCCAACATTGGGAGGAAACTATTCAGTCCCAGGTCACTCAAGAAGACAAATGGCCAGTCAATGAAGTTGGATGAGAAGCGGTTTAACTTTAAATGGCATAGGGGTATCTTTGCTGTTAGAGCGCTAAGGATGTAGATCTCCCTTCCACAATTGGTGGTTTCAGCCAGAGGTGTCACAAATTTAAAAAAAACCTTTAGATGGGCATCTTATTGAACACATTATCCAGGGATATGGGAAGTTATAGAGATATAAATAAGCACACCTACCCACAGGTTCAACTGGATGGACTGGAGTCTTTATTCAACCTTACCTACTATGAAACTTTGAAACTTCTACACAGTTCAGCAAATCTCCCACAAACAGGAACTGGGTACACTCGGCTTATCCCTATTAGCCAATATGAGCTGAGGCCTGAGGTTCCATGGATACAGTAAGCAGTCCCTGGCCATCTGCCAACATCAGATATTTGATGTGCAATTAAGTAAAATTGCTGCCGCCTTGTAATGAGCTCAAGACTGCTTCCCCCGTGCCTCTCATGTTATTGGCTCAGTTCACTAAGATGAATGAGTTCTAACACCACTACTTATTTTATCCTATGATAATTTTCTCCTTAAAATGTTCAATTCACAAACATAAATGTCTCCAAGATATGTAGGCGTTATTTTTCCATGTGAAACAGACATTTATCTGTTAAGAATATTATTTTATTTTGTGAAGTGTTATTTTATTACCAACTCAAGCCGGTCATTTTCCTGCTCTCCTTCATAGACAGCTAATAAAACTCCCAGTTATCACCACCCTTAAGCTGCTGATGTTTTAACCCTTTTACTGCACGACATAGAAACTATATCATTGACTTTGACATGGATAAGATAGGAGGGGATGTTTTACAAACCTCACCAGCCACTTTATTAGGTACACCTTACTAATGCCAAGAAAATATCCTCCACACCATTACACTACCAGCCTGAACCGTTGATACAAGGAAGGATGGATCCATGTTTTCATGTTGTTTATGCCAAATTCTGACCCTACCATAAGAATGTCGCAGCAACCAGTCTGCCCATTCTTCTCTGACCTCAACAAGACATTTTTGTCCACACAACTGCCGCTCACTGGATATTTGTTCTTGTTTGGACCAATATCTGTAAACATTAGAAATGGTTGTGCGTGAAAAACCCAGTAGATCAACAGTTTTTGAAATGTTCAAACCAGCCTGTCTGACACCAACTACCATGCCACATTCAAAGTTACTTAAATCCCCTTTCTTCCCCATGCTGATGTTTGATTTGAACTTGAGTAAGTTATCTTCACCTCGTCTACATACCTAAATGCATTGAGTTGCTGCCATGTGGTTGATGATTAGCAATTTGTGTTACCAAGCAATTGAACAGGTGTACCTAATAAAGTGACAGGTGAGTGTGTGTGTGTATATATATATATATATATATATATATATATATATATATATGTGTGTGTGTATATATACACACTTTATTGCCAAAAGTAATGGGACACCCCTCCAAATCATTGGATTCATGTGTTCCAATCACCTTCATGGCCACAGGTGTATAAAATCAAGCACCTAGGCATGCAGACTGCTTCTACAAACAGTTATGAAAGAATGGGTCGCTCTCAGGAGCTCAGTGAATTTGAGCGTGGTACCCTGATAGGTTGTCACCTGTGCAATAAGTCCATCCGTGACATTTCCTTGCTACTAAATATTCAACCGTCAACTGTTAGTGGCATTATAACAAAGTGGAAGCAACTGGGAATGACAGCAACTAAGCAATGAAATGTTAGGCCACGTAAAATGACAAAGCAGGGTCAGCGCATGCTGAAGGGCACAGTGCGCAGAAGTTGCCAACTGTCTGCAGAGTCAATAGCTAAAGATCTCCAAACTTCATGTGGCCTTCCGATTAGCACAACAGTGTGTAGAGAGCTTCGTGAAATGGGTTTCCATGGCCGAGCAGCTGCATCCAAGCCTTACATCACCAAGTGCAATGCAAATCGTCAGATTCAGTGGTGTAAAGTATGCCGCAACTGGACTCTAGAGCAGTAGAGACGTGTTCTCTGGAGCGATGAATCACGCGTCTGTCTGGCAATCCAAGGAAAAAATGTCACCAGCACACCAAGGATCACCAATATGGGTCCAAAGGTTTGGACCCATATTGGTGATCATTGATGTGCTGGGGACATTTTTTCCTTGCTGATTTTGTTCGGTTCCAGCCGACGGTCACTGCAGCACCCACTTATACACACAGCCATTTTTAACGCAGGAACGTGTGCGTTTGGATTATACACTTACTTGCTGTCTGGCAATCCAATGGACATGACTGAGTTGCCAGGAGAACGGTACTTGCCTGATTGCATTGTGCCAAGTGTAAAGTTTGGAGGAAGGGGGGATTATGGTGTGGGGTTGTTTTTCATGGGTTGGGCTTGGTCCCTTAGTTCCAGTGAAGGGAACACTTAAAGCATCAGCATACCAAGACATTTTGAACAATTTCATGCTCCCAACTTTGTGGGAACAGTTTGGGGATGGCCCCTTCCTGTTCCAACATGACTGCACACCAGTGCACAAAGCAAGGTCCATAAAGACATGGATGAGCGAGTTTGGGGTGGAGGAACTTGACTGGCCTGCACAGAGTCCTGACATCAACTCAATAGAACATCTTTGGGATGAATTAGAGCGGAGACTGTGAGCCAGGCTTACTCATCCAACATCAGTGCCTGACCTCACAAATACACTTCTGGAAGAATGGTCAAACAT